TCTTCCTTCCGAGGAGTGGCTGGTGGGAATTTTCTGTTCTTTTCCAAAAGCATAAGCTATAAACTCTAGAGGTAGCCATGGATATTGCTCCCAAGGAAGTACTGGTTTTATGACTGAAGCACAAGAGATTTTACTTTCAATAAATAAAGGGATGCAATAATCTCTCTTTAAAAGACATCTGGTTGTATCCTCATCCCTTGGGTAAGGAACACCTGTGGAGACATGGATTAGAGAAGAAGGTTTATAAACTACAAGTGAGTATTCTTAAAGCAAACATTTACTGGATGCCTAATATGTACAGCCATGACATTAGGTGCTAAGAATACAAAGATATTTACAAACCAGATCTGCCCACAAGTGACTCCTAGTCTAGTGAGAGAGACCCATAAGTAAATACAAATTAAAATAGAATCTGATCAATGTTATGATAGACATATACACAGGATGCTCAAGAAGCTTAGAAGGACAACAAAACGATGCCTGTGAGGAGGGTGAGGGAGCTTGCTTTGAAGGTAGATTTTGGATGACAAGAATGAGCAAGGTAGGGCAACAGGGAAGGACTTTTCTTGGCAGAGAGAAATAGCAGTAGCTTACTTGGTCATTCAGTGAATATTTATCTGACACCCCCATCTTCCAAGCACCATTCTAGTGCTGAGACATAACAATGAAAAACACAGGAAGAATTCCCGTTCTCATGGAGCTCACTGTCAAAGAGGGAGGGCTAGCCAAGAAGGAAATACAAGTAAACATACTGATTCCAGAGAGTTACTGTTTCTAGAAAGGGAACACCCACACGGTACACCAGGGAGTGAGCTAATTCAGGAGCTCCGAGAAGGCCTCACTAAGGAGAGAACATTGAACTGAGATCCCAGTGACAGAAAGGGATTATGGTACTATCCACCAGCAGGGGAAGAGTGCAGAGGTGTAGACAATGGCAATGGCGATGCCCTGTTGGGGGAACAGAAAGAAGGTGTGTCTGACGGGCACCTCGGATGGGTGGGAAGGGTGGGGAGAGATGGAGGCTGAGACTGTATGTGAGAGCGTATGATGCACTTAGGAAATGATGAGCAAGAGTTGCAGGGTCACATAGGGAAACTGGCAAGAGTTGGATGACATGGGTTATATCTCTTCAGCTCAGAACACTCGAGCAGGAGGAGAATGTTTGTAGGAGAGAGAACACTCAACTTCAAACAGTGTCTTTTTAAGATTTTGAAGTTGGTGAGTGTCATGGGTAGATTTTCTAATGGAAAACTAATTCTTGCAGTGAGGTGAATAGAGAATGGAGCAGGAGAGTGTGAGGGGCAGAGAGCCCAGGAAAAAGCTATTTCATTAATTTAGACAGTTGATACAGAACGAAGGCAGTGAAGAAAGGGTGGAGAGGAGGGCGGGTGAGGGAGATATGAGAAACAGTGCGGAGTAGTCATGGGGATCCATGGGATGAAAGAAGAAAGGGAGAGTCAGGGTTTGGCTCTTTCATCTGTATCCATTTATACGGGTTGTGAATTGGCTGAAAGAGACCCTCATAGACAACACAGGGTTCTTAAAGGCAGAGGGATGGCTCCTCAGAGTAGGAGCTGTTTCTGTTCTGATTCATAGCAGCCCTATTTACAACAGAACAAAACACTGCTCAGTCCTGTGCCATCCCCACAATCATTGCTCTGTTTGAGCCCCTTGTTGCAGCCACTGGGTTAATCGATCTTTTGAGGGTCTTCCTTTTTCGTGCTGACCCTGTACTTTACCAGGCATGGTGTTCTTCTCCAAGAACTGGTTCTTCCTGATAACATGGCCAGAGTGTGTGAGATGAAGTCTTGCCTTCTCACTTCCAAGGAGCATTCTGGTTGTACTTCCAAGACAGATTTGTTCATTCTTTTGGAAGTCCATGGTGCATTCAGTATTCTTTGCCAGCACCATGATTCAAAGGCATCAATTCTTCTTTGGTCTTCCTTATTCACTGTCCAGCTTTTGCATGCATTTGATGTGATTGAAAATACCACGGCTAATTAGAGATGTAAATCAAAACAATGATATGTCATCTCACTCTGGCATTAGTAGCTGTTGTGGTTCCCTAGTGCCACTCTGACAAGAATATACCACAAATGGGTTGGCCTTAACAAACAAGAGTTTATTCTCTTGTAGTTTGGAGGCTTTAAGTCCAAGTTCAAAGTGCCAGGCTCTAGGGGCTGGGTGAAAGCTCCTCAGTCTTGGGGTCCAGCTCTGCCTCCTGCTCCCAGCCCACTGGGGCTAGAGGCGTTTCTTCACTCAGACAACTGCCGGCTGCTGAGGCTGCCAAGCCCAAGGTTGACAAGTAAAAAGGTACAGTCCCGATGT